CCCCCCAGACCTCACTACTTTTCAAATCCTGGGTACGGCCATGCTCAGATACATTGCGTCTGTGTGTAACACGCTTTAGATTTACTGACAAAGGCCATTGTGAAAGGTGCACTGTTAAATGACAACACTTTGACAAACCCACCTGCCGCAACATGTTGCAATAAGGCATTGTGACAGTGCGGTGTATCCCGGGAGACACTGTTTTCACTCTTTCTTTTCTTCTTCTCCATCTGTCTGTCTCACCAAATCTCTTGGAACTCGTCTTGAAATGTAAAGGTTTGGAGCTGCTGTGTCAGGGTGAACAATAATTGGATTTATCCTGTCTCTTTGCTTCAAAGGTGTGTGTGTGTGTGTGTGTGTGTGTGTGTGTGTGCGCGCGCACGTGTATTTGTGTGTGTGTGTGCGTGTGACTGTGTGTGTGTTAATCAGATGTGATTCTTTCATCTTAAGAATATTTGTTACACCTCTTGAATTTCAGATCAGTGTAAGAAAATGAATACAAGAATGAGAAAGGAAAAATAAAAGATACAATTACACATGCGTGCACATAAACACATATATATATATATATAGTATCTCCAGATTTTTAAATGTGATTTTTAGACTTTTGGATCTCACTGTTTGCAATATATGTTACAAGCCACCTATACAGTAAGTACCCGTCTATGAGCTCACTGATGTGTTGGCTCAAAATTATCAAAATTGCTACCATTTTCGCAGGTTGTTTTACTGTCATCCCTCAGCCAATCATAGTTTCTTTCTGCTGCATTAAATTCAGCTGAGTTTGTGCTAAAAGAGCTTCAGAGGTGATCAGAATAGCAAACAGCAGCACATGATAGTGTTGCACGCTCTGTCAGAACAGTATATAATTCATTTTTATGTGTGAACAACTCTCTTTGGTTATGTGCAATAGACGAGGGTAAAGTAATGTACGAAAACCGCAACAATGGGCAGCGACCTTCGCCTCTTCTCAAGGGGAATTATTTGTACTACAAAAGATAATTCAATGTGTAATCTGTTGAATACTAATGTAATTTCCGTGAAACTCGTACCCTTGTTGAGGTGAGGTGTGTTGATATTGATTCATTGTGATCGTTATCAGCACGGCAATATCCTTTTGCAGGGTGCTTATTTACGAGTCGGGTTGAGTCACGGTTCACAGCATCCATTATGTATGCGGCACAGGAATTGCTGTAGAAAACCCAGAAATTAAGGTGCTCAGCGAGGACATTGTGCTGTACGTGTTTAAAAGAAAAGATGACAAATTATGAATGTCTCGAGGGGAAATATTGTTATGACTAAACAGGCAAAGGCTTTCAAAATAGAAAAGCACACCCACTGTAGAGAATACAATTTTTCGGCACTTGGCGGAAAGAAAAAACGTGAAGGTTTATCCAAGAGCAAAAAATCTTGTTGAGAAAAAAATGTCAAAGATGATGATGGGTTTTAATAGGTTTTTTGTTTCCTGAAAAAGAGTTTCCTTGCTGTGCATGACTTGAATACTAAAAGCGTATACAATTTCTGAAGTTTATTTCTGGAACCGTTTGTGTTCAGAGAAAGAGAGCGATATGACATTTTCCTATAAATCAAATGTGCTCTCAAAACTGAAGTATACTTACTTTTAAACACTTATTTTACATTTACACTGCTTTTCCACCAGTGTTTTATTTCTCACCTGACAGCTTTTCCAATTGTCAGAACCCAAACTGAGGAATAAAAAATGCTTGGATATAAAACATTAGGAGAGGGTGGTATGGCTAAAATCTTCACCGTATCTGCATATTATCACAATGTAGTTCATCTTCACTTAATATTAAAAAAAAATGCTTTAGAAATTAAATAGCCATGGGTTATTAACTCAATCGGTTATCTATTTTTAGATAACCCATTGAATCTATATGTACAAATACAAGGTACTTCATCTCTGTTGATTATTTTCTCTTTTTATTTGGCACTTGAAGGATAAATCATGCTTAAGTGTTACTTACTAAGAAACAATGAAGTTTATTATCATTAGGTAATGCGTTAGGTATTGTGAACTAAGAGTGAACAACATTTATGGTTGCACTTTATTTTAAGGTGTCCTTGTTACAGTGTAATTATACATTTACTGAATAATATTAACTACATGTACTTACTATATAGTTAGGGTTTGGAATAAGGTTTGGCTTAGGGTTACTTACTTGCATGTAATTATGCAGAATTTATTGTTATTATAATAGTAAGTACATGTAACGTGTAACAAGGGCACCGTAATATAAAGTGTTACCAAAATTTGTAAGTAGAAAAACTGAAATTGTATATATATATTTTTTTTTTATTTTTTTATTTATATGTTTATTTATTTTGTAAAATGTACCCAATAATCTTTATTTACGACTTTAAATATAAAAAATATTGTTTAAAGTTTACTGTCACTCACATAAAAACAATGTAAAGCAGCCCTGTTCACTGATAGCCATGCAAATGTATGTGTATACAACCCGGTAAAATCTCTACTGGTTGACGCATTTCTACCATTGTGTGGTATATAGCATCTGTAAATGTTGTGCTCAGCCTTATTAAACAGTATATAAAGGTTTTGAGTCTTTCTGTACTGCAGCTGTTGCTCCATTTCCCCTTAAGCACCCAGGCCCCGTATGGCCCAATACTAACAGCTTTAAGAGAAGCTTTTCTCACACTCTTTGTGCTGTATTGATTCAGCTCAGTATAGGGAAACCTTGTGGCTCCTGTAGTTTAATCCAAATTCCCTCAGACGAAAGATCTAGAAAAGAGAAAAACAGTGCTCAGCCCCAATTGCCCAGCCTCAAAGAGAGCCGTTTGAAGTGCAGAATCTGGCAGCGGTTTTAGAGAAGATCGGCTGTCCTGTGTAATTGATCCGTCTGGAGGTCATAGTCCAACTGACCGTCTGCATATCAATCTCACCAACTGTGCTGCCCAACTTTTAGATCTTCTGATGTGGAAGCGAGCCATAACATTTGCAATTAGAAGGATAATTTGAATAATTAACCATGGCAGCTGGAAAGCATCATGTGTAAACATGAGGCAAGAGTCACGTGAGAAAGTGTATGAATTAGGACTGGCAATAAATAAATTGAATTACATAAGCAAATTAATCACATATATGAATATTTGGGGGGGAAAGCCCCAAAATAAAGATAATTTAAGACATTACAGTGTTGTGGCAGATAAGTAATGAATTCAGTAGACATTACAAAAAATCAGAGCTTTTCATTTGAGCTGCATCAAGAGCACAGGATTTTGAGATGTCATGTCAAAAGGGATTCACCCAAAAAATGAAAATTCTGTCATAATTTACTCGCCCTAATGTGGATCTAATCCTGTATAATTTATAAATATCCTAATTGAACTATGGCCTAATCCTGGTTTAGTCTAAACCCTGTCTGTGAAACCGGGCCATTTTCTCTACTGAACTCAAAGAACTCTAGTGAAAAATAAATATACTAACATGTATTTGAAATACATTTATTTCATGCTAAGTACACTACAAATACATTTACATATTTATGTACTCAAAAATACCCTGCAATTGAACCTTTGGTATACTAGACAGGTATATTTAGTCTGCTAAATTGGAACAACTAATTTTCTACTTAATGCACTTTAATTGTACGGAAGTAGTGCTGAAGTCCAACTATAGATATACTGAAGTATATTTAAAGGGATAGTTCACCCAAAATTAAAAGTATGTCATTTAATTACTCACCCTCATGTCGTTCAAACTAACTTACAATACGTTTATTAACTAAAACGAATAAGATGAGGCATGGCATAGGCCTACACCACATGCTGTATTAAATGACTAAATGACTAATAAATTACTGAACATTTAGCAAACACTGAGGAATCAAATAAAAAATAATAATAAAAAAAAAATCCATAAAAATATCCTCCATAGCATAACGTGAGGTAAACAGCAAAGATAAGCATTTCAAAATGAAAACACAAAGAAAAGTAAAACTAAACTTGCTGCCAGTGACAGTGCTTGGGTTTCTGCTCATGTTGCACCGTATTTCATTTTAGGCGTTTTTACGGTGTTGCGCATTTTAACCAATCACACACAATTCTGTTGAGCTTAGGAATGCAATGGCCAATCAGAAGCGTTCAGATGAGTCATCGTTCAAACTCATCAGTTTTGTTGAGTGTGCACGTGTTCGCTGACTGAATTCCGGACTCTTAACTGGAATCTAACAATGTCTTGGAAAAAAACAGTTAATCTTAAAAAAAAATGAAGCATAGCTATACATAAACCCATATAAGAAATAAAAGAGTTATCGAGTAAGCTTGTTCTAAACTCCTGAAACATTGGTGTTTCATATTTTAGAGCAGTCACTGCAATTTATGAAAGAAATCAATTAAATCTGTATGTGGGAGTGTGTGTGAAAAAAGCAGATGTAATTCCCTTTGTAATCCTTAACATTTTCATAAGTAACTGTAATTTAATTACACATTTTTTCTCAGTAACTGTAACTGATTACAATTACTTTAATTTTGTAATTAAATTACGTAATTCCGTTACATGTAACTAGTTACTCCCCAACACTGGCAACGTATGTACGCGGATGCGCTGTTTACGTTCAGATCAAAACGTAAACGACGTAAACCGCATACGGTGCTGCTGACACAACACAGCATACATTGTTTACAGGTTTATTTACCAAAGCAACTTACAATAAAGTGCACATGTAAGTGGCAATTATCAGCGCTAGCAGCTAAGGATATATGTCAAGTACTAGGGTTAGACTTCAAGTACTAAGAAGAACACTACAGCACAAATGCACTGTAACATTGCGATGGCTGTCACGTACAAGGATCATGAAGTCTTTGACATTGGCAGAAATTACAAATTTATATTTTACTCCAGGAATCAGGAACATCTTTCCTGTCCTTCTTAGATATTTAATATCCATCTCTGATTAAATATTCTTAACATGCCCACATCTGTGTTGACTTCATCTCTGATTCCTGTCCATCCACAGACGCCTGCAGAAGGAGCATCCACGGCCATCTACGCTGCAGCTGCCTCCGAGCTGAAGGGGATCGGAGGACTGTATCTGTACAATGGACGCAAGACGGAGTCTTCAGCACTTTCTTATGACCAACAGCTGCAAACCAAGTTGTGGAAAGAAAGCTGCGCTCTAGTGGGTCTCCAATAAACATGAGAGAACATCAGCACTGAGCTCCTGATCACTGAGACTTGGGCCCTCATCTTACAGTCCATATAACATCCACCTGAAAAAAATTCAACCTCAAGCCTTAAGTTAGTATCCCTTTTTGCCAAATTATCCCTTTGTCTTTAAATCATCTCATTACCTTTATAGTGTTCACTAGTGCTAGCAAACGATTAATCGTGATTAATCGCATCCAAAAGAAAACTTTTTGTTTACATGTGTGTGTATTGTGTATATTTATTATGTATATATAAATACACGCACATACAGCATATATTTTGAAAATATTTACATGTATATATTTATATTCATATAATTTATATCATATATAAATGTTTAATATATAAACGTAACATATTTTTCTTCGATATATACATGCATGTGTTTGTATTTATATATACATAATAAATATACAAAGTACACACACATATATTATGTAAACACAAACTTTTATTTTGGATGCGATTAATCACGATTAATCGTTTGACAGCACTAGTGTTCACACAAGCCATCTTAGACAACGTCTTGAGAATGTGTACCTCAACGAAACGTGACAAGTGCGCTGTTTTCCGTCCTGAAACCACTCTCTTCCTCCTCACTTGGGAACTCTCTGAACACTTTTTCCCTGAACTAAGCAAATAAAACAGTGATTTTGACTAATAATCGAGTATCTTGTTCTCTGCTAAGCCTTTTTGGGTGCTTAATGAATCAGGACCGTCGCAATGGCTGTTCTACTGATTTTTCTTTGGATTTTGTCAACAGACTATACAGACATTCGAAGGATAAAAGGATTATATGTGAAATCTCCAGCTCTCTTAACTGGGCAAATACCAGCCTGTGTCTGTTGATTCTCTTAGTTTCCATGCTAGGATTTTGCGTCTTTTTTTGTTAGTATAGTTGTATATCTTCAGTGGCGCCTACGCTGGGTTATTCCCAACCCATCAGTCAGTGTCATTCCTCCCTCTGCCTACCGCATCTAATTGTCTAAACACAAACTGCAGAAGGGCTAAGGAGGAAAAACATTTGTCTGGCTAAGCCCTTCATTTTTCATTCCCTCACTGTGCAATTTGCAATGCTGTGTTTTGAATTTAACCACAAAGAGACGGCTGCCCTCATGCCAGGTGCCTCACCTTCATTCACCTTCTTTCTCCCAGAGGGGGAAATTTCGTCCAACTGTTCTGTTCGTGACTGTGACGTGCTCAGAATTTGTGATTCCAATGTGTAATAATGTAGTTGTTGTGGTTTTTTTTTCAACAGACCTTGAAACAGAAACATTTAAAGGGGTCCTATTATGCTTTTTCACTTTTTCAACTTTAGTTAGTCTGTAATGTTGCTGTTTGAGCATAAAAAAAGATCTTCAAAGTTACAAAGCTCAAAGTCCACTTCAAAAGGAGATATTTTATTTAACAGAAATCACTTTTCAAAAACTACAACGAACGACTCGTTTGGACTACAGCGCCCATTTTCCGGGATTTGTGATATCACAAATATCGACGAATGGGACGAGACCTGGTTGAGCTGCACTAGAGAAGGCAACGAGTGTTATCACTAAGTCGGAGACACGCTAGTTTTCCCAAGGCAGACAAACTTAGAGTGGTTACAATCATCCGGGTTTAAATTGCGCTCAAATGGATTTGATTTTGATGCAATATTTACACTGAAGCTCGCAGGCGGCTATGGTAAGGGGCGTGACATTTCCCGACCAGGCGCCGAATGAGCCAATCACAACACACACTGGCCCAGCTAACCAATCACAGCACATTTCGTATTTCAGAAGGCGGGCCTTCATTTGATACAGGAACTATTCAAGCCGTTCATGCCAGACTGGGGAGAGAGGTATTGTATTAATGTAAAATATGTGAAAAATAATGTGTTTTTCGAACAACCTAGTATGAGAGCCTGTTCTAGTACACCCCCAAAGCAAAATCAAGACTTTGTAAAAGAGCATAATAGGACCCCTTTAAATATGTGCACATATTTTATAAATCAAGATTTTCCTTTGAGATGTTGAGATTTAACTTTTAAATATATTCAGGCATCCTATACATTTTTTTTTTTTTTTAATATGTATTTATCCAAGGTCGATGTGCAATAGCAAACCAGCTAATTGAGTCTTGAAATAATGGAAAATTTGAACATTTTCCAACAGGACATGTCGCTTCATAAATACCAATATATAAAAGTACTGTGACAACTTGGAGGTGTTGTCTCAAGTTTGGCTGCTTTGGTAAAGTGCTACTTTGACCTGTTAAATTCTAATTTAAATGTACTAGTGTCAAAATGTGCCTGTTATTTGTGTGTTTTATGTGGTATCAATCATGCAGTTGACCAAATGTGTTCACATTTAAACCTCTCTAATTCAGTTAATTTTCTGTATGGTACAGTGAATGGGATATGAAGCTTTTGGGTCAAAGAGAGATGAAGATACCCCCCATTTGCATTGCTTTTGAGAATTTGCTTTTATCATTGCCTAGTTTTGCTTATTGTACTCTAATTATGCACTAATGGAAGTGCTGCTGTATTATAATGTATCTAGCATTATAGGAAGGGTAAATAACTTCCATGCACAGATAATAATGATCCAATAGATTAATTATATGGTTGTGATACTGAGAAATAAATTAATAAGTGTTTGGAGGCACCAAATGTCTGATGATAAATTAATCGAGAAACAGTCTCAGTACAAAATGTGTAGAGGATTTTGCATACTTGGCTCCTCAGCCACATGCACTGTGAATGAGCCCAATGTTTCTGTCATTTGTGTGTGTGAAAGAGAGGGATGAAGACGGAGAAAAGAGTGCAGCATTATCTTGCCAGGAGACTCTGAAGTGTCTCATCTTCAGCTCTTGTAGAAAACTGAGTGAATGAGTTTCTCTTCTAAGGCTCTTGTCTAAATAAAAACACTGATTTTGCTGTTGCAGTAGCTGTTTTTTGTTTTTTTTCTGCTAATGGTGAAGTGTAAATGAAAATATGGGATGTAAAAGCCAATTTATGTTGTTTCGGTTTTTGAAATTGTGCAGGGCCGGTCAAGGCAGTTTCAAGGACACCGAGCAGAAGTCATATGATCCACATGCTCTGTTAAAATTGAATAGAATAAAATGGTTTCATTCATCCTTTGTTCCAGACATTTCTTTTGAAAATTTAGTTCTCACTAATGCTTCAAGTTCAGTCACGCATAGTCACGTAACATTTTTTTTCACTGTTTTGAAGTAATAGCTGTACATTTTGCTTTAAGCAGATGGTACATTTCAAGAGATGGCTGTTGCAGGCTCTGTGTGTGTGTGTGTGTGTGTGTGTGTGTGTGTGAGGGCAATAGCACATACAGTTTGTACAGTATAAAAACCATTACGCCTATGGGATGTCCCCACTTTTCACAAAAACAAACCTGTGTGTGTGTGTGTGTTTGTGTGAGAGAGAGAGAGATGTGACCTGAAATCCTCTACAGGAGCAGATGACTCATTTTAGGTTTTTTCTGCCATGAATGCCCTTGGCAGTTTGTGGGACATCCATCTCAAGCACATATAGCACCCACTCTCAAACACAAGCAGTGCCATGCAAGACTCATCTCGCTCACATATTTAAATACTAACACATTTGATTGCTTTTTAAATTATACTCTTGATCGCAAATAATTGCTGATCAGATGTGGCCTTCTAAATGTGCACCTATTTTTGCAGTTGTCCTCAGACATCGATGATTCAGTGGACTACTTCTGCTAAACACAAAAGGAAGATATTTTGAAGAATGTTGGTTTTGTTTACCCTTGACTTTCATTCTGTTGACAAAAAAAAAAGCCATTTCTCAAAATATCTTATGCTCCACAGAAAAAGGAGCAACATACAGTTTCAGAGTGTCACTTTTTAGTCTGATTTATTTTAATGTTTATAACAAGAACTCTGACCTTGTTATGAGATGACTAGGTTTGTGTCATATGCAGCAGCTTGACAAAGTTTAACGCACACATCTCATCTCTGATGTTATATTCAGTTTGGATTTGGATTTGCTCCTGATGAAATCAAGAGCACTGAATATTAACTGAATATTCTTAGAATGATATTTCTAAGAATATTTTAAGCAAAAGATAAGCTGCATATTTAATGCATAGCCTATAGTCATAACAATTAGGCTCTTGAAAATAAAAGAAAACATTTTAAAAATGTAAGAATATTCCTAGAAATCTCCTAAAGCCCTATATGCATATAATGAGTCCCCATGTAGGGTTATATGCATGAGCTACATTAACAACTTGGGACTCCATCCAGACAACTGAATCCCTCAAAAGTTTCAACAAACAACTAATAGGAATAGTTCACCCAAAAATGAAAATGGTGTCATTAACTACACACCCTATCATTCCAAACCTGTAAGACCTTTGTTAATCATCAGAACACAAATTAAGATATTTTTGACGAAATCCCTCCATAGACAGCAATGGAACTACCACGTTTAAGGCCCAGAAAGGTAGTAAGGAAATCGATAAAATAGTCCATGTGACATCAGTGGTTCAACCTTAATTTAAAACCTTAAAAGTCCATACGTGTGACTTTTGTGATGTTGTAAACTTGCTCTGTAGCCCACCTAGTACAGCACCGCACTTATGATGCAGAGTGCTCAGGTTCGAATCCCATGAAACACAAGTCATGAATCATTCCACAAAAGAGCTCAGAGTCTTGCAGAAACAACTGTAGGTTAGGTTTAGGGTATGGGTTAGTGTAGGTGGTATATTATTTTCAAATGGGGTAGAGCTTTAACCTTCCATTCACTGGACATATCATTTGTGATTTGCCGTGATTCATACAACAAAACAACATAATATAACGTTGCCACAGTCACGTTTAACTGTTTCAGAGGAAATTTAACACACTATTTAGCAACTGGATATTTTATTTTGAAACTGCCATGAAACATACAAGCAATGCAGTATCAATTTGCAACCATTTTGTAACCACAGGCACATTTTTTTCATGACACTGCTGTTTAATAATCCTGCATCTGTGATGGAGAAATAATGACATAACTTATAGTGCCTCTTGTGGACCCAAAATGTATGGAGGAAGATATTTAAGCTTTTACAGAAACATATTTTCAATGAGTTGTTTGTAGAGGTGACCAGCAGGCTCATCAGCATGCCTTTCACTCTATCAGTCATCTATCAGATTTGCCCAGGATCAATCCTCCCTCTCTCAATG